AGCTTCCAGTTTTAAGAGACAAGTCATATCTCGTTCTCGTCATCGCTTTCGTTCGCGCACATCTTTTCCAGCACCGAACAACGACGCGTGTTGGTATCATCAAAGTTTCGGCAATAAGGCGAAACGTTGCCGGTCGCCTTGCACATTTCAGGAAAACCTACCGTCGGACCGTTAGTGGCGGTTAACGGTTCCTCACTTGAATCGAACCGCCTCTTCGTAACAGATCGTGCCACCAAAATCCAATTTCTGGTGGATACTGGCGCTGATCTCTGCACGTTTTCCAAGTCTCTCGCACCTTGGCCGCCGGAGCAAGTCAACTATCATCTCACAGCAGCAAATGAGTCTACGATTAACACCTACGGTTGCATAACTCTATCCTAAACCTTGGCTTCAGACGAAATTTTACAGGGCGCTTCGTAGTGGCGGACATAACGAAACCTATTATTGGCGCTGATTTTTTGGCACATTTCGGCATCTTACCCGACCTCAAGAACAACTGCCTTATCGACTCGTTAACTGGACTAAAAGTTGCATGTAAGCGACGCAGCACCACATATCTACAACACCAGGATCTCCTGTTTCCTGTAAGGCCCGAAGACTTGTTCCCGACAAACTCAAAATTGCTAAGACAGAGTTCGACAAAATGTTACAATTCGGAATCGCTTAACATTCGAAGAGCTCCTTGTTATCTCCGCTCCACCTTGTTCCAAAGAAGTCTGGTGAATGGCGAACTTGTGGAGATTATCGACGACGGCCGTACAATGCCAGACCGATATCCTGTTCGTGTTCTCGAAGACGTTACTGCCAATCTAACCGGCAAAACAATATTTTCAACCATCGATCTCGTGCGCGCTCTTAATCAAATACCTGTCACCAAAGAAGATGTCGACAAAACTGCAATTATAACACCGAACAACCGTTTGGTCTTTTTGAATTTCCGTTCATGACGTTCGGACTTCGGAATGCTGCGCAAACATTTCAACGATTTATCGACGAAGTAACACGGGGACTAGACGACTTTGTATTCCCATACATAGATGACATTCTAATCGCTTCCAGGGATGTTACAGAACACCGTAGTCACCTCCGCTCGCTTCAATCAAAGGTTCACATCAGGTTCCCTGGACACCGGAAGGAGAAGAAGCGTTCGTCAAATGCGAAGAAGAGCTACGCAAAGCAACGATATTAGCATATCCAGACACAACGCTTTCTTGGACAAAATTTACCGATGCCTCCGAGTATGCTGTCGACGCCGTTCTCCAACAAAGACGTGGACAACACTGGGAACCATTGGCTTTCTTCAGCCAGAAGCTTTAAACCGCTCTGAGAAAACACTGTCCATACGAACGTGAGCTTCCCGCTATCTACGCAGCTTTACGAAAATTTCGCTATATTTTCGAAGCACGACATGTCACGATTTTTACGGATCACAAACCTTTGCTAAATGCTTTTGCTCAGGACCCTGATCGAGCGACACCTTGGCAATTCCACCGCTTGGATTTCATCAGCCAGTTTACAACCGATATCCAATATATAGCAAAGACAACATCGTCGCAGATGCTCTTTCCCGCATCAAAGAAATATCAACGGCAGTATCCTCAAACGAACTTTCTCAAGCACAAGCAGAAGACGAGGAACTTCAGCAACGTGTACGAAGGGAACAGCACGATTCACTGAACTTACGACCAGTCAACATTCCGGGCTGCAATAAACCAATTTATTGCGACGTTTCTAGCGACCTTATTCGTCTTTACGTTCCCGCAGCGCTTAGGAAGAGAATATTCGACGCTCTCCATAGCATTAGTCATCCCAGAGCACGAGCCTCCGCCAAATTGTTAACGCAACGATACGTTTGGCCAGCATTAACCACGATTGCCGTTTGTGGGCCCGAACGTGTCTAGCTTGCCAACAAAATAAGGTATCACGCCACCTTTTATCACCAATCCAAAACTTTCCATGCCGCACGAGACGTTTCGAACATATTCACGTGGACATATCGTAACTGTTTGACAATCATTGACCGTTTCACCAGGTTTCCAGAGGCATTTCTTATTGATAATATCGGGGCCGAATGTGTCGCTCGCACACTATTCGCCGGATGGATATGCCGCTACGGAGTACCGTTACGAATCACGACCGACCAGGATACACAGTTTGAGAGTTAACTTTTTAACGCCTCGCTCGTCTCCTCGGCAGTAAACACATACACACCACCACTTTCCATCCGCAGTCGAATGGAGTCTTCACCGTCATTTGAAGGATGCGACTCGTTGTCACGAAAATAACTCATGGGTCGACATGCTACCAATCGTCCTTCTTGGAATTCGCGCTGCCTGGAAGGAAGATCTTTTCGCAACTCCTGCCGATCTTGTTTATGGAGAGCCAGTTCGTCTACCAGGTGAATCCATCGCTCCTTCGCCACGATCTGGTTTGCCACCATCCAATATGGCAGAACGCTTGAGAAACTAATTCGCAGACCTCGCACCTCAACCCACCATCCGACCTGGTCAGAGGAAAACATTAATTTTTAAAGAACTAGCGACGTGTTCACACGTTTTTGTCCGTCGCGACGCTCCACACCACGCATTCACTTCACCGGATGAAGGACCTCACCGAGTCATTTCAAGGCATGAGACACATTTCATCGTAAACGTCAGAGGCGAAAACACTACAGTTTCGATCGATCGACTAAAGCCTGTCTACCTCCTTCCCGACGATAAGCTCAACGATAGTGAGCAGAACAACGACGATGACAACAACACAAAGCTTATCACATTAACTTCAACGGAGTCATCCGAATCTGGGACATCTCGATTTTCGCTCACCTACACCGTTACCCAAGAGACTCGTCAGATTTTGCTGAACTACTGATCACCTTCTTAAATTATCAATGATTTCGATAACGTTTTCCGAGAAGGGGAGTACTTGTGGGATGAGCCACAATATAATATAATATACGACAATACAACATGGCAACACCATGTCAGCAAGTCAGCTGATCCTGGCTTACAAGGAACGCTTGCAAGGAACGCTGAAACGAATACGACACAAAACGGAACAGCGGATACATAGTCAACAGTTAGGCTCGAGGACGCCTGCTGTTATTATAAAAGATTATACAACACGGTTAACGGCCCTTCTCCTGCTGGCAGCCACCGCGTGCGCATCGTTCCTCCATTATAGCACATTAATCACCACATTTTTTCTTGATTGGAATCCCAATGCCAATGTACCTCTTTTCATATTTTTTGCTGATAAATTTTTTATAAACTAAATAATTTAACATGCTAAAAAACTGCTATTATTCGCTTGTCATAATCGGTATTATCTGTTGTTAGCTGTAGTTTTGCTTTGAACTGTTTTACCTTCTTTACACTTTTGTGCTTGCTGGCTGTAGTTGAGCCGACACATTTAATATAGCTTTAACTTTTCCGTTATCTAGTCACTCGCCATTTTCAACGAAATTGTACCCAATGGATTTGATTTGCTCTTTTCGAAATTTCACCACTAAACAAAAAAATAAATAAAAAAATTGTGCCTTTCCATCGCTAGGTTCACTTTTGGGAGGAAATAGTCATACAATTTTTTAATAACGTATTATAGGATATAGTGTTAATATCAATATCGAACGATTTGTAAATGTCTAAACATTCTGCACCTTAGTGGTGTAACATTAAAGCAACTTTTCGTTGATCGGTTTGGTCTTCAAGACCGGACGCTCGCATAAAAATTAAAATTACGCCTTCCATTTTTTCCACAATATTGTCAATTATTGAATTGTCGACATTGCCATAGCTGACGATATTGGAAAAATGTTTTTTGTGTCAATCAATGCACTTTCTCCATTTATTGCCATTGTGTTTAATTTATATTGATTTTTATACTCTCGCAACCTGTTGGTACAGAGTATAATAGTTTTGTTCACCTAACGGTTGTTTGTATCACCTAAAACTAATCGAGTTAGATATAGGGTGATATATATATAAATAAACTGGATGAAGAGACGAGTTGAAATCCGGATGATTGTCTGTTGTCCGTCCGTCCGTGCAAGCTCTAACTTGAGTAAAAATTGAGATATCTTTATGAAACTTAATAGACATATTTCCTAGTACCGTGAGACGGTTGGTATTGCAGATGGGCGTAATCGGACTACCGCCACGCTCACAAAATGCCATTAATCAAAAACAAATAAATTGTCATAACTAAGCTCCGCAATAAGATACAAGACTGTTATTTGGTACACAGAATCACATTAGGGAGGGGCATCTGCAGTTAAAATTTAATTAAATTTTATCCCTGGGATGGTGTGATATGACTTTATAGGAACCGCTTTCAAAATTAGACAGTGGGCGTGGCACCGCCCACTTTTAGGTGAAACCCCATATCTTGGAACCTGCTCAATCGATTTCAACCAAATTCGGTACAGAACATTCTTTTCATATTTCTATGTTAAAGTGCGAAAATAGGTGAAATCGGACAACAACCACGCCTATTTCCCATATAACACCATTTTCAAAACCATCAGATTCTTTAACCTTCCACTATGCATATCAAGCAGCAATGATTATGTCGGGTTAAAACTTTGCGTGAATAATACGTTTAAAGTATGCCACCTTGAGACCAAAAATTGTCTAAATCGAACCAAAACTGTTCAAGCCCCTAAGTACTAAATATGTGGACCCCAGTGCCTATAGTTGACCTTCTACCGAGAATATCAGTCAATCCACAAAGAAATCTCAAACGAGTATACCATTTGACTTTGCGAGAGTATAAAATGCTCGGTTACATCCGAACTTAGCCCTTCCTTACTTGTTAGTTTATATTAACGTTTTCATCTGAACTTAAAGTGACTAAAATTAAGAACCGAATATCAAAGTTACTTAATGTATTACATAAATATTTATTGATATATTTCAAGCAACAAACAACATCAATTTAAATAAAAAACAATAAGTAAATTCTAATTACTCTAAAGATCTTAAGTCACTCTCCCCACTTACCTTCGGATTTAAGCCCGATCCTTGCCGAAGAAACGTACCCGTTATAAACCAAAAGCTGTTTGAAACGGAAAATTGATTTTCAACTATATCGGATTCTTTCATGCACGGATGTGGATTGTTCCATTCATATGGTGAAAATCGAGCCATCACAAATAAAGTAAGTGAAACAAGAACATAGGCGGTAAGCACATACAACCAAATTTCCATTGCCAATGGATTCATGAATGAAAAAAGTCGTGTAGGCTGGCTAGAAGGAATCTAAGAAAATTTTAAATTTTGTTATACCAACTCGAAAAATATGTAAATTTCAGGCAACAATAAACGTTATAACTATTGTAGTATGTAGACGTATGTTTATATTAAGGTATATCGCAACACCGAAAATAGTTTACAAGTATAACAGTAACAGTATAAAGTGAATTTCCTCAAATTCTATGAATATTATTACAAAACATTAGTCATCATTCCCAATATAAAATTTAAAGTCCACATTTTTTTGGCCGAAATCGACTGTGTCCATTTTGAGCTATCAACTTTCCAATCTTTATACTCTTGCAACATGTTGCTACAGGTTGAAGGTTTAAAAATTTGTGCATACTTTTTTTAAACTCACCAAACTGTTTCTTTCGTTAATTTTTAATTTTTTGAGTTTCTCGCAAGATTTTAGTTAATGCCCTCTCGTGCATAGTTCGCATTTTTCTGTTCGGGTGTGAACGATTGTGTTTTGTAAAAGTTTCTGTTTAATTTGGTTTTGCTATTTGGGATCCATTGAAGCTTCTTTTTAGGTCGTGGTGAGCAATTTTTGTTTTAATTAGTTTTTAACACGCTTATATTAGCTTGGTATGTATGTAATGGAATATTAGAGCTCAATTTCCAGAAGTCTGATCAAATTAAAACTTTGAACACGTGTCAAGGACCGATGACAATGCATTAATTTGAAAACAGTTTCCAATTATTTTAAAAATGGGCGTAATCCCGCCCCCTAATTAGTTTACTGTATATATCTTCCAATAAGGTACAGCTAACTCAACCAAATTTGCTGAGAGGAAGACCTTTTAGCACTTTTTCATACGCTGTGAAAATGGGTAAAATCACATATTAACCATGCTCACTCCTCATATAACGGTTATGTTGAAAACTACTAAAAGTGCGAAAACTGACGAAATAAATGCGCCATAAGCATTAAATTTCACAAACATAATGGAAGGGAAGCGCTTTATAGAAGGAGGTGTAAAAATTGTAAAACGGGCATGGCACCAGCAACTGTTAGATGAAATTCTATATCTCGGGAACTTTGGAACTAATTGCAACCAAATTTGGTATGTGAGATTACTCAGCCATTCCTGTCACACACAGCGTGGGATAGTTTGTGCCATATTTTTCGTATATCGAGCACATCACACTTTTTTCACAATTATACATATATAATATTTTTCGGTCAATATTTCTGTCACTTTATATAAGGATTTATTTTTCACTTTTTAGTTATTTGTCTACCCGTCCAGCGTTTTCGTACTTGGTAGTTAGGAAATCTTTCATTTATTCCCACGTTGGCCATTTTTCCCGAAATGAGAGCTGGTAATGCAGCGGTGCATATATTTACCAGAATAGGGTCCCAATTGACTGTGGGAATATTTTGTGTCGATAGAACCGACAAACAATTTGAAACAGTGGATAGTAGTTTAAGAAATTCTTCACTTGTTTCTTTTTAAATCTTAGGCAAGTTAATTAGTATCGTTACTTGTTTATCGACCAATATTTCATTTTCATATCTTGCTTTAAGAGCTTCCCAGGCCAAATTGACATATTTGTCCTTAAGTGCGAACTGTTTGCCTATGACGCCTGCTTGACCTTTTGTTTTGTATCGGAGGTGATACAATTTTTGCGCGCTTGATAATTTTGTATGGTTGATGTACATGACTGTAAAATTGTCCCGGAAGGACGGCCATTCTTCATATCTGCCACTAAATATTCCTGTGTCACATATGGGCACCTCGAGGTGCAGGCATCCACCTTGGTTTTATATTTGTGGCAGCTCTACTCTGGGATGTGGAGTAAGTTCAATTACATTTATCAGAAATCATAGCTTTTGTCTCTTCGTACTAGTCTAAGCAATTTAAGTATATTGCGTGAGCTGATGATTTAAAATTTTGTGGTAAATCTGAATTGTCAGAATCTACTTGGCGTCAGTAGCCGCTTGGAGACAAGTCCAACAATTTTTGAGAATAAAATAAAGAATTTATTTCTAATAACGATTCAGAGAGAAATGAATTTATATAATTTGTATTTTTTTTAAAATATTTTGTTGCAATTGTAATTTTAATTTTCTTAATTTAATAATTAAGAACCGCATTTTTTATTTAATAATAATTTTTATGTCCTTATGCTGAAGTATATAGGTACACCCTAATACACGGACTTGTATGTATGTACGAGTAAATATGTTCTTATACCAGAGAATGTTAATGAATAGAGAGGCGCAAATGTTAAATCAGAGAATGTTAATGAATAGAGAAGGAGCAAATGTTAGCTGTACTAAAATGTTAATTACGATGAGGGAACATCGAAAACGCGCAAGCTCGAAAATAAAATGTCACCACACCTATCAATTTACGCAACGAACCACACCACTCTATAAGCAAAATGTATATACATATATATGCACAGATGTTCTTTGATAATAAACAAAACTTAAAATAATAAAAAGGAAAATAATTGAATTATGAAAAGAAAATATAAGTAATGAGGGAAATAATATGAAAAAAGAATTAAAATATCATTTAATAAAAAGGGTTATAAAAATAAAAAAAGAGTATATAAATATATATGATAGGATTTGAACTTAGGCAAAATACTTCACGTTGCAATAAGGAAGTGTGCTATACAAGCTACACCACAGACAATATTCAAGTTACTTTGTCTAATCTGTGAACTCTAACAGCTATTGTTGTTTACTTGCTTCAATGTTCATATGTCTATATGTGAATATTCTTGAAATTGCTTTCCTTTATTCGCATGTCCAAATATATTTGCATATATGTATGTACACATGTATGTCCCTCAATATGTCTTTCGCAAAAAATCAAACATTCGCGCCAGTGACTGTGGTTCATATAGAATTCCTACCGCAAATGCGCGAATACAAAAATTAATGAAATTGAATTTGAAGGTCTTCAGTAAAACGAGAAAAATTCAATTTTACAATTTGTATCACTGAAAATCCTACCATTCCCCTCGGATTTGTATGTTGCCCACAAGCTGCTTCCTCGCAACATTTGCTAAAAATCAGAAATTGAAGAATTTGTCTGGTGTTCCCTTCAGAAAGGAGAATTGGCAACATGACGTCTTAGCGATTTGAAATATTATTTTTATTTTTTTCATATAATGCACTATCAGTAACTACTTCTATATACTCTAAGCACACTGCATATAGTACTTTTATATGTTTACTTATTATCATTATTTCATAGTTTGTCGATTTAGCCCATTTTATCTAAATACGACGCTATGAAAATGCAGCCCAATTGGTAATCGCAATATTTCAAAAGAGCATAAGTCAACTTTCAATAGCAAACCACTGCAAAAAGGACAAACGAGACAACATAGCCGACCGACATTGTCGTAAAATTGTCGATTCAAACAAATTTTGTCAACTCCGCCACGATGCGCATAATTCGGCGTCAATATGTATGCGAGCTCATATGTATATTTGTATGTTTGTCGACAAAATCGTCATTTGGTTTTTTTCAACAACACAATGTCTGCGCGAACTCGCCGTTATTTCGTTGGCTTGCCACCATACACAGAGGCGTGTCAAGTGAGTACTCATAATATATTAATATGTTGCTTAATGAGTATTGAAAAATACTGATGCATAAATGACTTATTTTCGTAATATAATAATAATATACGTAAAAATATAAATACACATAAATTCATACTTATAATCGTTTTTAAAATAAATTCGATTAATAAAGATATATCTGAAATAATTATGTGGCAGTGCGCCCCTGACGCCTCCTTGACAGCGATCGTTCAGCTTGCTTCTCGGAAAAAGCAAAAAGTGTAGCCAAAAGTCAATGTTTGTGCGGGGCAAGAAGAAGCAAGCATCAGCGTACGTGTGTTTAAGAATGTATGTGTGGTTATCAAATTTGTGTAAATAGGCATAATAAGGGAATATTCAATAAGCCTAAACATATGAACATATTTTCCTGAAATATTTTAATTATCTCAGGAAGTAAAATATGCTATTAATGTAATTGAATTGAGATATGTTAAGATTCCAATTAATAATATAAAAAATTAAATAAATTATAAGTATGAATTTACGTGTATTTATATTTTTACGTATATTATTATTATATTACGAAAATAAGTCATAAATGCATCAGTATTTTTCAATACAAATTAAGCAACATACCTATTAATATATTACGAGTCCTCACTTGACACGCCTCTGTGCATGGTGGCAAGCCAACAAAATAACGGCGAGTTCGCGCGGACATTGTGTTGTTGAAAATAACGAAAATACGACTTTTTCGCCAAACATACATATATACATACATACATATGAGCTCGCATACATACACATTGACACTAAATTGTGCGTATCGTCGCGGAGTTGACAAAATTTGTTTCAATCGACAATTTTACGACAATGTCAGTCGGCTATGTTATCTCGTTTGTCCAGTTCATGTTCCCTTCAGAAAGGAGAATTGGCAACATTACCTATTAGCGAGTTAAAATAATATATTAATTTTTTTCATATTGTGCACTATATATAACATTATAAACTTTATATAAAATTGCCATTTAGATGAAATCTTTAACTACTTGTATATATTCTAAGCACAGTCCATATAGTACTTTAAAATTTTTACTTATTATCATTGTTTCATTCTATTGTGAGCGAGGGGACGAGGAGGAAAGACGAAGGGATCGCTGCTACCCTTTTCAGCATTACTTTTCACTTTCAAATTCTTTGAACGGTTGCAAGAACGCTCGGTTTCAAATGAATCTATACCATTCGCTCAGAAATTTGAATTCTGTGATATGCAAATATGTATGCATAGAATAATAGAAATATTTTGAAAATTTGTAAATAAGGAGAAAATTAAGTTACTCAAAATTCAATTTTAATTTTTAATAACATACCGCATAGCCGTAAAGAATTTAGTTCGAATATCATTTTATTTTAAACAAGAATTGTAACTAATTCAAGGATGTTTTATAATTAATAGAAAAAAATATGGAATAAGAAATTATGGGATTTTAATACTTAA